GTGTTGAATAATGTTAGTTTTAATTCCGGTAAAACTAATAATAAGTCACTTGGAAATTATACTTGTCAGAATTTTTCAAAAGACAGTTGCACAAAATATGAGTTAAGGCTTGGGTCCTCTGTCTGCAGCTAGATTAGGCACTTTGGAAGTCTTTAATCCCTGAAAGCGAGTGAGACAATACAAATATCTAGCTAACCGCTAGACTCGACATAGGAATTATCTTACCTGAATGAATGTAAGAACTCTATTTTGAACAAACATAATGCCTTCCATTGCCATTTAAATCACATTATCATTAATTTATTGTTTGAACACCATACCATTTCCTCTCTCTGTACCTTAGACTGATCCCACTCTGTGTTATACAAAATGATACATGACCACTGCTAGTTCAAGCTCACCAAACTGTGTTTTTGCACTGGAACTTAGTCGTATGATCAATATTTATATGAAATACAAAAGGAAGATATTTATTATTTTATTTACTCTGGATTTAGTGGTCACTTAAAATTTGTAAGCACTGAATTAACAGCAATCTTAATGTAATTAAACCATATCTTCTATCTATTTCCTGTGTTTAGATTCTCATGTTTATAAGAAACAAATTAAACCTTTCTTACCTGTTTGATAAAAATCTTGCAAATATTTTGTTGTGTTAATTAAATTCATATGCCATAATTAGCATTCTCATTATTCATTTCTTATCTAGATTTTCTACTTTCCATATTTATCCTAAATTTGTGTCATGTACTTAAATTTGCTTTTTTTCCCCAATTATTTTTCATTTATTTATTTTTTCTCAGTAGATGTATATCTCTGTTTTCTAGTTTCATGCAAAATTATTTATGGTAAAATATATCATTGTGTCAAGATATGAATAACGAAATAAACAACTTTTCACAAATGTTTTTGTCTGCATTTTTTATTTGTCATTGTTTCAAATCAACCAAATAAGTCGCAGAAGCCATTGCTTATCACATGGATTTTTTTAAGGCTTTGTTTTAGAGCCAGCAGCAATACATGCTTGTAGTTACGTTGTCATTTTGTGGGACCTGGACAACAAAATCCAAGAGCTGTTTATTCTGGTTTATTTGTACGGTGATGTTACAATTCTTTATATAGCAAATTAGTAATCCTTTTACTTATCTGGAAAAAAGGGATTAATTGATGCAGTTATGATGCTCACGCAGAAGTTGTATGCTCATCTTCAATAAAGTGTGAGCATAGATCTATCAGTAGAGGATATGCACAGTATCGGAAGATGATGATTATGGAATTTATCCAAATATTAATGACTATGCTAGAATAATAATTTTAGGCGTTTTCGGCAGCGTTGAGTACGATTCGGGGCCTCATCTCTGACAAATTGTTAAATATAGGAATAAGCCCACGACTTAACCTTGGTATGTCTGACTTATACGAAAGAAAACAGATTGTTAAATTTAGGGGTAGTGTATCTGAGTTGCCGACCTGTAACACGGGGGTACCACAGGGTGTCTTTTGTCAACCTTGCTTTTTTCGTTCTATTCTGATTTTTACAGTACCGTACTATAGATCCAAGTAAATCATTTAATATTTGCAGATGACACGTGTCTGTTTGATTTAAAAATATGACATACTTTTTTAATGAATATGTTAAATCACTTATTTTATGGTGGAAGGAGAATTTTTTAGTTCTAAATGCCAAGAAAAGATTTTCTATTTGAGGAGGAAAAATGAATTCATTAAAATATTGTAATCGATATTGAGAATGTGGAAATTGTTGAAAGACATATAAGTATCTGAGACTAATAATTGATTATGAATTTAACCAGGAAAATAACGCTAAAGAACTCCGTTCCAAGGCAAATAAGAATGTATTTTGTAGTATAGTTAAACTTGCTTAAGTCGACTTCGCCCGACTCGAATAATTCGATATTATTTTACATGACAAATTATTTAAATTGTAATTTTTCCATTAATTAACGATCTGTAAGTCGAATTTTTTTTTTTTATGTCGAACTATTTTTCAATGCCATTTTGAATTCGACTTGAGCGCTGTTAGCTCCAATCGTGATATTCATTGAAAAGAGAATGATCCGAATGATTTTTATGTACCATTTTAAAAGTTTGTACAGTATTAATAACAAAATTGATCGCCGAATTTTCCAGTACTGCATCTGTCTATATACAGTAGTTTCAAGTAAAAATTGATTCCGACCACTTCAAACAACAACAGAAGTAGCTTTTTAAAAAGTTCAAAGACGCAAATATAATAAAACGCCACAAATAAAATATATGTGAAATAAGCTGACTCTAAAGAGACGACCTACACACATACTGTAGCCAAGGGACGACTTACTCGCGGCTGCATCACACCTAGTTCAGAATCTCTACTTGCTCATTCAACTCACCCGTCGACAAAGCATTATGTAGTCGTTCTTTTTCTTGGGCTTCTGTCTTTCTTTGGAATGCTCTGCCTATTACAATCCGACAGGCAACTTCCATTGATGATTTTAAGGCAGCTTTAAAAACTCACCTTTTTAGCTTGTATTTTTCTTAATTTTTTTTCCCGAATTTTATTTTTACTGTTAAGCGCATTGAGGCTTTAGCATAATGCGCTATATAAGCCAAAATTATTATTATTATTATTACCTCGTCAAAGACAAACGTTTACAAAATGTAGCCTACAGATACAAAATAATATTGCCCAGGGGTATTCAGGTGTATATGTACAGATATTAAAATATATTTATACCATGAAAAAAGGGCCTTATGCACTTCCATAGTACACCCACACCATGAAGAGCCACTGATTTAATTCGCCTTACTCCTAGCCATGGTGGGGCTGAAAATGGTGTTGACACGCCTGGTATCATCCCTTCCTTCTTCTTCCTAAAATGTGCAAAAACTTATTTGATCTAATTCAAAATTGGAAGTCAAATTAATAAAATTTAAAATAAATATTCTAAGTATGAGAATGCCATTTATGGCATTAACATTTTTGAAAAATTAATTTATGGCATTAAAATTAAAATTAATTAATTATTAATTAAAATTAAAAAGGGATACGGCTGATAGTTTTACCTTTAGATGAATGTCGAACACTTTTTAAAAAATTGTTTGAAAAGTCTAAGAGTGCTATTAAGTTTCAACCGTGGTGGGACTGAGGTGGGCGTGGCACTCCAGTTGGCCACTTCCCCTCTCAGAAAATGCCCCGATCAACAAGTCTCGGCTACAGGACTAGTTGAGTTGAATGTAAACAGTATATTAATGGGATATTTAAATGCCTTGAATTTATATAATTAGGAAGAAATATACATATATCCTATTTTTTTCAAAGCAGCGGCGGGCGTTAATAAAAAAAGAAAAACTTTTTTTTTTCTGAAATGTCCACTGTTTTCGTAGCGGTGGGTGCGCTAATTAGCCAAAAATAAAATTTTAGTTTTATTCAAAATTACCATTATTGGCAGGTGGCGGGTTCGCTCCAAAAGATCCAAAGGTCTCTCCTAAACTTCGAGGATTTGCGCCCCACCTCTCATGTCACATCACTTCCTACCAACATTTGATCTGAGTTCAAATTATAGGTGGCGTGTGCTCATATTATTAATAACCAGCAAACAAACGCAATGGCGATCGTAAGAACGTATCCACTGAGATCATCAAAATTTCCCGGATGTGCGATCTTTCAACTCGGGTCCTGGAACACCGGTGAAATGGCGAAAGGTACGCTGGATGTGAATATTTTGTTCTGATTCGTAATTTTCAATTTATGCATTTACTTTTATATGATGTAATGTTAAATACGAGTGTCTTTAAATGAGCTGATTTATAACTTTGCAAAATACCCCTATATCGGCGATTACCGTATTATAGAAGCTAGGCCTAGGCCTTATTGCTTGTATTGTTATGATGCCACGTGTGATAAACGACAGAGGGCGGGTTGTATTGTTGTAGTGCGGCATCTGTTCACGAGTAACCTAGTCAACGTGTAGGCCTAGGAACTTGGATCGAGATAACTGTATACGTATGCTGGGCCTAGATAGCCCCAAAAGTATTGGAAAATTAGCGAGATAATTAATGTGGAATATTGTGCCCTGTTTTAAGTTTGGCATTGCCCTGTTCTTTCTACTTGCAACATCACTGCCAATTATTAATTTTTTTTTTTTTTTAGTTTAGAATCATGATCATGGAAGGTAAGTTAGATCAAATGACAATGTAGGGCATATGATTCAAACATAGAGCCTAGTCTGGTCTTTGCATATCTGGGCAGTATTAGTACTGGCCAGACTGTAAAAGTAATGTCTGCGCTGGGAATATATCCTCTGCGCAAAGATTTGGCCTAGAAGTATGCGTTTTTCTGGAAATTTTGCCAAAAATTAGGCTTTAACCTAATCTTAATATATAATTATAACCAACGTATTATGCAGTAATTAAAATTCTGCGCACCTAGGCCTATTTTTCCGAGCAATTTTTCTTGTAAATTTCAGCTAGTTTTTGAGGTGTCATCTGTGCAATTAAAATACTTCACACTAAGGAGTACTGCTGGTACTAAAAAGTAGACAACATATGCAACATATAGTGTAGATGAAAGTATGGTTTGAAATAAAAATATAATGCTAATGCAACCAATCAATAATCAGTAAATACTGTATGCCTACCAGTCAGTGATTTTTTTTGCAAGGAGTTACTGAAGTATTGATGTGTGGTTTGCACTTACACAGTATAATCAATTTTCTGTAACCCTAGCCCCAAAAAAGTGAACAGGCAAGTTGGCAGGCTTTTTAATAGACAGTACTGTGTTTGCAAATTAATTTACACCATTTATTTGGTGGAAACTATGTAAATTAGGCAGCAAATAAAAGCATCATATAGTACCGTACAGATTACTTTTTTTTTAGATGAACTGTTTAGTGTAAACTTTATGGCGACCTTATCTGCTGGCAGTGGTGTGTCTAGAAGTGGGGACTCGATAAAGTGAGAGGGATGCTAGCTCAAAAATAGGGTCATATGATGTGATTTTTATCTACTTGAGTGTGATTTTTTGGCATCCAACATTTTCAGTGGTGTGGGTGGAAGGGGGGAGGGGGCAACTGCAGGGCACTCTTCTCTCGATACGCCACTGTCTGCTGGTGATGGGATGATGCACCGAGCACACTGACCACACCTGTGCTGACCAAGGTTGTCATAAGGAAATTCCTTCCTGATTTTACCGTGTCACGTTGTATGCATGGATTGAATTAGAATGGATGTATTAACAACATTTAGGCTTGTTATTACCCCACCAAAGCATCTACTGTGCAATAAGACACATTTTGCTTTCATAAGTAAAAATTTACCTTGGGATGATATTAGCTGATTATAAAATATTAATACATCATGCTTATTGTAAACATAGCATCTATATTATGATTATCTGTTTCCTTTATTTCATCATTTTTTCAACATTGATGGATAATAAAATATATTCCAAAGTTTTAGAACTATTGAAAACTGATTGATGTATGAAATTGTCAATTATTTCTCTGCAGGATATGGATTGTTGCTGCTGTTAGCATTTGCAGTGGCTGGGCAGGCTCTTCGCCCTCTTTCTGTCTTAACATCAGAAGATCAAACTAAAATTCGAGCAGTGCTAGAGCAGGCTAAATTCACAGATATTGCTCATGCACATTATTCAATCCTTGGGCTTACCCTGCTTGGTGCTCCTGCTCCAAAGGTAAGCATTGGACTGTTTGTTATTTTTAACTTATTTATGGGCCTAGATTAAATTTTGTTAAGAGAATTTCGTTGTCGACTGTGCCTTCTGTCCTTGTCTTTTTGTCCTTTTTACTCTATGATTTTAATATTTGTGAGGTTACTTTGATTTTATGAAGGTTTTCATAGTTTTGTACATTGTCATTAATTTCTTTATACATGTATTATTTAAGTATTCTATTGAATATTTTGCAACCTAAAAATTATTCATTTAATATCATTGCAATCTTAGTGCATTGAACACCTTATTGATTTATAAATTTATCAACATTATGAATTTAGTTGTAGAAATTATTCAATTATTAAGTTATGTATTCAAATTATATAAAAAAGTGATTATATTAAAGTAATGCATTGTTCTCGGTTCATAAAACTATATACTGTACATTTAAATATGCTATTACATAATTTGTCATTGCAGGATGCTTGTAATTATTTAAAAGCCAATATAGATATTAGTAATGTTCAGTCGTTGTACCATGCAACTGCAGCAGCTAAAGCTCTCGGCAACTGCCAGGTAAGTGACTTCATCAAATGTTCCTGGTTTTAACCAGTGTGTGTGTGTTTATCCATAGAGATATCTGTCTCCCTGTTTATATTTATAGGGTGGACTGCTCAATTAAAACACTACTCTTCCAAGAGGCCATATTCAATCAGTTTTACTTGGCCTTTATCTTACACATCTTTTTACATCCTTTTCCCCATAACATGACTGATAAAGTGACGGTACAAAATTATGGAGAAACTTTTTATACAGGTTTCAGATCTTTAAAGAAGTTTCTACAAGTATCTTATATATTACAAACTTTTAGCTCTGGTTTGGATGCAGGATTCGTAGGTAGGGGGTGCGCGAGAGTCCACACCACCTCAGTTCGACAGTGGTAGAGCTGAGGTTCGAAAACTTAAAGCATATGGCTTGTAATTTTAATTTTAGGTGTGTGTATGTAAATCATTGCATGTTCTAAACATATATTATTTGGTAGTTTTGAGACAATTGTGTAAAAGGATTTTGTTTACTTTGCCAAGGGCATTGGCACTTGTGTCCATTAGAACTGCTGAACTCACTGGTTTAACTTAAAGCAAAGATAATAAATAGCAGAAGATAGAGCAGCTTCCCAATATAGTAGAACATCTGTTCGAAATGCATTGTGGGTACATGGAGAGCAATTTTACCCTGTCTGTGCGGTGGCGCTATATATCAATAATGAAGGTACCGCTCAGGTTCGTCTGTTTCCTGTAGTTTCTCCACTCAGTCAAATGGTCAAATTTTACCCCACTTGCGGGAGGGCAGATGTTCCATCGATTTTAATGCAAATATGCAAACAGCTCATTCTTCTGCTATTTAAGTTCTTTGCTTAATTAAAGACCAACTTCTTCAAAGAACATTTCTTCATTGATCCCATTTAGCGCTACCTATTTATTTATTATTATATTATTTTACAATATTATAGTCAAAAAAACTTTTATTTTATAACCATTTTATTATATCATATTTTCAGTTGAATGCTGGCAATGCTAAGCAGACTTTAAATGGCGCCCTCAACGAGAGTGCTGACACTGCTACACTTTTTTATGCTGTTTGTGCTCTGAATAGTTTGAATTTTCCAAGTAAGTATTCCTGGAAATAATTCAGTCTAGAGAAAAACAAATGCTAATTTTCAATTTTTATTTAAAAACTTGACTTGCGTGGATACCTGGCCTACATTAGGCAACATCCAAGTTTACTATCCCTTAGTAAATTCGGGCAATCACTGCCTCGTAATACGACCACCACCGACCGATGAATCAAACTCTGCTCCCTGTGAATGCTAGGTGACGGATCGTCATTAAAAACGGTCTGTTGTGTTGCATTCTCCATGGAATCATGTTGGGCGATGAACGTTTGGTGCAATAAATGCCCGGCTTTAACATGTTATTCAGGCAGTTAGAACTGATTGTCACCAGTGCCACTTTGGGTACACCTTAAAGATCTTTGTGTCACAGGTTCTATTTTGCAAGCTACTTTCCCTGTGAAATTATTTTTTAAATATCTTTAAGATTTTCTATTGTCTCATTAATGCATTACTGCTAATAATATTAAGTATAATTATATAAAATTTTTGGTCCAACCCATAACCAAAATGGAAAAGGACTGAAACCGTATATGATGATGAGGGAGATGCCTGAGCCGTTGGTTCCATGTACACTTTACGGTAAAGGGTGGATAATTGTCGCCCTGTGTCCTTCCAGTTTACCAGGCACTAGAAGATGAACTGATACTGCTGCGGCTGCCTAGCAGCTAAGCCCAGATTTTTAACATACTCAATATAAATTGAGTTACTATGCTTAGTCTTTTTTATGAATACTTCACCTGGATTAACATATAGTTTATCTAGTTGCATTTTTCACTCTTAGACTAAAAATATCACTACTGATCTGTTTTGTTTTTCTAAAGTAAACATGTAATTATTATAGCCTAAAAGTTGATTTCGGTTTCTTGTATTTTTTGCAGTTAATTCAGTTGAAGTAGCTAAACTTTTGAAAGCAGCGTTACAAAAAGACGATAGTGTTATAAGGTATGAATTTATAGATACAATGTTTTTGCAAGATCCATTTAAATTTAATCTTTATTCATAATTCATAATTTTATTTTCCTCAAGTTAGAGACGATAGAAAACCAAAAGAAGCCTTCCCTGTTCAGTGTTGCATGCCATATTTAACTATAGAGCAAAGAATGCATCACAAAAACAATGTACATCGTTACATGATATAGTTTCAAATAAAAGAAATATATGCTCTACATAACTCTTATCATAACATGTAAAAGAAGAGATTTACCTATGAACAGATACCTCTGAATTGGATACTGTATTTTACATTTTAATTTGTCCTGGTAGACCTGGAATATGTCTGTGAGTGTTTTTTCTTCTTTTCTGAGTTTCATTTTTGAAAAATTTCTTGTTTGTTTGACAAGCATGGCAATGTAATGATGGTGACTTGTATTCACATATGTGCCCTATTTTCAATATACTATAAAGGAGAACAAAGTTAAGAATAAGATAAGTGTTTAAGAATGTAGAATGATAAAAAACCTGTTTGTGGTTGTTAGATTTTTGTTGCCATAGCAATAACATGTTTATTTTTCTTCAATTGCAGTCAAGTATATTCTCTTCATGTTGCGTCAATGTTGTCGGCAGAGACAGATGTTACGGAATATGTGAATTCTGTAGAAGATATTGCCGCACAAGGTGATGAAATAGATGAAATTTATTTGCAGGTGAGTTACTTGCTTAATAATTGTTCTTAGAATAAGAATAGCGCATTCTAACTGAGAGAAAATGGGTCTAGTCTGAGAATACAGTTTGTTATGCTGTTTAAAATGAAGTACTCATATATGTACTCAAAGGTAGTTATTGTATCCTCCCTTTCTGTGACTCTATACTGCCCTCTGTAGTTTGTATGTATCTTCAATTGCTGTCAATAAACATAGTAAAATGTAATTTCAATTTAGTTTCTATTACTTTTTGATTGTTTAAATTTTACATGTTATTAATAGTTTGAAGGAGGTATCCTGCCCTCAGCATTGTTTATTGATGGTGCTTTAAAAGTTGCTGCAAAAGCCAACAAGAAACCTGTCCTCACTGAGGTAAGTGAAAATTTATAATAAAATGGATGCTTATTCAAACATATGTAACCTTATATAATCATTACAGTTAATGAAATATACTTTAGTGTAAAACTTAATAATAACGTGTCTTGGCAAGACATTTTTCATGGATTTCATTGCCCTTCCGATAAGCCATTGAGCAAGTGTTTATGAAGGCTCCTGCATCAGAAAAATGAAAATGGTAAAGAGCGAAGAAATGTCTTTGGTGTACTGACAAATTTATTGTCATGTGCAATATAGCAAATTAACATTTATTAACACTAAATATATCCTGCCACTAAAACAATTCTTTTTAAAAATAATTATTATTAAACAGAAATACAATCAAATTTGAATTAAGTCACACATCAAAGAAAATATTTGAATACTTAACATATGGTTTCTGCCAGCAATTTAAGGATATATGTAACTGCATTATTATGAAATTCAGTAAATGTTGTAATTTTTAAATTTTCACTCATGATATGTATTACATGAATTTTGATTATAATTTGTTTTTTAGGAGCAAGTTGTGATGATGGGAAACTACATTCTGAGTCGAAAGTCCACACAAAATGTCCGCAATGCCTATCTCGTTGTCCTTGCCACTAAAGCCCTCTCAGATAATAAGGTAGGTAGGTCTGTCTGGCTTGCAAAGGCCTGCTCAAGTCCTGAATATTATCCTTATTCAATATCTGTATTAATGCTTCTCAAATCTATTACTAGGAGAGGTTCTTATCTGTTTTTTTGGGATTGAACAAAACAAATATAAAAGTTGCTGTCTTTATCTACATTCTCTACAGGACTGAATAAAATAAAATGTTTTGTGGTGCTCTATGTACTAAGTCTTTAATATATTGCCAAGTATTTTGAGTCAGATGAGCAAGCTTTTTTTATTATCAGTCTTTGTCAGGCACATGAATGTATATATAATATCAATATTATTTTTACAACAATGTGTTTTCCTTTGCAGTTCTTTGTTCCTGTTGGTTTCACACTGTCAAGCAGTATAACTGTCTCTCCAGTACAACCCAAGATCAACGTAAGTATTCTATAGCATTTTTAAAGAATTTTGTTGCACACTGCTTTTCTGATTTTAGTAATAAAATCTACCTTTTACTAAAAAGTAAATGAATAACCATGCCCGAGTTGTGCATTATGCAGTGTCAAAGGTCAAGATATTATTGTAGCCATAGATGTAGATATTTTATGATTTAGTCTTCCGTTATTCCCTTCTCATTCTGTATTGCATTTAAACTAAAGCATAATGTTCAATAATAATTTTCATTATTGAGTGTAGTCTCATGCTGAAATCAGCATCAGTGTCCAAAAACAAGAAAATTAACTTTTTAGTATATTCATTTACTCCACATTCTAAGCTTTAAAATGATAGGTAATGTACTTCAACAAATTGAAGATTCCATCCATATTTGTGTTAATAATTATAAAGTCATGGAATTTTTAAACAATTACAGGTCCAAGTTACAAACCTGATGGCCGGATCCGTTGGTCAGCTGACCGTTTCAACCAAATCAGCAGTACGGAAGTCGGACGGTTCTAAATTGTTTGCAGAGAAAAAACTAACTGCAGCTTCCGACAAGTAAGAAAAACTGATCAACCAGTTGCTGCCCTCCCCCCCCCCCCTTTTTAAAGCATAGACATTACGGTCAAGTAGATACAAATCACTCAATATCACCTTATTTTGTGAACTAGCTCCCCCTCACTTTTTTTTTTTCTTTCTTCACATCCAACAGCAAGTACACTTGCCACTTACAGGATGAGAATGATTCTTTATAAACTTTTTATGAGACTTAGGGAGTGGAGTTGATTTTAGTCGTAAGAAAAAGTCCTGCTGTGACAGGAATTGAACCCAGGACCCTGGGATTAGAAGGCAAGCATCTTAACGACTAACCTATTCAACTCCACTCAAATTCAAATGATCAAGCCCCCTCGCTTAAATTTTGCGCCCCCATCGACTCCTACCCCTAGTTCAAGACTTCTAGATATGCCACTGGCCTAAATAGGTCACATGATAATGATTAGTAACATATAGTTTATTGTTTACTCTGTTGTTCAAAATCACATTAAATTACAGAATCCTGAAGAAAGTAGTAATAAAATGGCTTGAGCATTTTTAAAATCATTATGCTCATATTTTGATTTAATTTTGGGTTAATTTTCTTGTAAAATTGTATCTTACTGCCTACAACTGCATGTAAGTGTCATTTGAAATAGCTGTTGGCTTATAATATGATGTAGAAATATATTAGAGACACTGTCCATTGGAGTTTATCATTCTAATTTGGTTTTTGTTGTTCCAGCATGTAGCGTCTGTGTGAATGCAATTATCCTTTCCTTTATTGTTCTTTTAATTATGGTTTATTGTCTTATCACAGAACACATTTTGAATTAAATTTCCTGGAAAGCAAACCAGCGCCTGGATTTTATGACGTCACTTTGGTGGCTAAGCCTGCAAAGGCTGATAGCCGATTAATTGGCCTGTCTGAGGGCAGTATTACTGTCAAGGTCGTTACTGAGGTCGCTGTAGAAGGGGTGGAGCTTCTTGTGATTGACAGAGATCAGAGCATTACAACAAAGACTGTCAGGTAAATAGCTGTCAGTGCTCTATGAAAAGTAGTTTCTTGTATAGTTATTAGCTGCTTAGATTCTATTGTATACTATTTATGTAGCATAATTCCTTCAGCTCCTTGTATATAGCTAAGGCTGAAGGCACTTTACAAACGTTGAATATTGTTGTTGTGGATGATGTTGTTGCAGCAGCTATGTATCATGAGTAAGTTTCTCGCATGATTAAAAATCGTAACGGTATTGGGTTTGGTCTACAGGCATTTATGCTTGGAACAGGTCATCCCAATTCAGAGCAGTACGAATGGAGGCATTGTGTACAGAAGAGGGATCGAGATTTAGAGACAAGCAGAGCTTAAGTGCATATGGGAGAAACAAAGATTTGAAACACTCGGTTCTACAGGGAAAAGCTACGTATGTTTAATAAATCAAATATTTATGAATTCCACAGTGTACAACATCCAAAGAAGTTGGCATCTGTTCTTGAAGCTGACCATCATCAAAACATCATGCTGAAGTTCACTCTCAAAGATAAGGCTACAAACAAACCAATGGCTGTCCACCAGGTAAAGATGCATTTGTTATTTTCTTTCCTGCAGTGTGGTGCCGTAGATCGGGGTGTGGCGTTGAGAGGATCTGATGTTTTTATTTTTGACTTTCATCTTCTGGGAGCCTTATAGTGAGCATTTTCCTCTGATTGCTGTCACACCAAAGAAACACTGTGCCACAATTGCTTGAGGCAGTTATGGAAATATACTGCATATAAATATCAAATGAATATAAAAACATATAAAAAATAATCAGTCATTTCAAAAAAAAAGCCAAAGAAATCTAGTGCAACCATTGAAATTTAGACATTAAAATGTATGTTTTAGTATTCTTAGAACTTTATCGTTGCACTTATTGAAAGGTAACTATAGTTGGGAGTTTGCTAGTGTAGAATGTGTTGAAGTCAACACTCTATTACTCTCATATTAAATCTATTGACCCAAAAGCATTTGTTAGTGCTTAGTTTTTAATAGGACAGGGAAGGATAAGCAATATTTGCAACCCCTTAAAGTTTCCATTGTAATCATTTGTGTAACTAAATATTCATCTCCTTACCTTAGTTATACTGTATGATTGATTATAATTTTCTTTTGCCACAGGCCTTTATTCGCATGGCAAATGTAAAGACAAAGCAGGAAGTGATCTTCACCTCGGATCGCTCTGAAACCCTTCAGTACTCCTTCAAACTGGATGTAGCTCAGAGTGGCCGAGATCACTTCAGTGCCCTCTCTGGCAAGTACTCGATGGAACTGATTGTTGGCGATGCATCCATTCAAAACCCATTTCTCTGGCATGTTGTAAGTGTCACTGTATAGTGCTTCCTTTTGTGTTCATGAAATTGTCTACCCTGTATGCTATGGTTACGTTTATAATACAGTTGGAGAGGTCGTACTAATTTTGTTTTTGTTTCATCTGTAATGTTTCATTTTCTTGTTCACAGGCTGATTTGAACCTGAAACTCAATGAGGACCCAAATAAAAAAGCTCCAGAAGTGAAAGGAATTGAATACAAAGCAAAAGATCCAATCGACCACATGTTCCGAGTCCCAGAGAAACGTCCCTCCAAGACTGTGTCGAGCGTCTTTACAGGGCTCATTGCAATACCATTGATCATTCTTCTCGCTTTGGTAAGTTTTGATTTTGAATGATTTTTTTTTTACCAATGAACATGTATACAGTAACTACATTTTATGTTTAAATGGTAATAAAAAAAATATTTTTAAAGTAATCATGAATAACAATACGAATAATTACTTTATAATAGTTGTATAAAAAAATAACATAATGATAAAATAATTTAATGAGATTTAGCCTAATGAAATGAGATTTTCATCTTGCAGTGGGCTAAACTTGGAGTAAATCTTGGGAACATGCCAATGTCTCTGAGTGCCATTGGATTCCATGTTGGCCTAGCTTGTGAGTATATAGTTATAATAAAATTTTAAATTGACTGTCATTAATAATCTTCATTTTAATGTCAGGCATATTTAAATAGAAATACATGATTGTAAACTCTTATCTTTAAACCTATTCCTCCAAAGTGACTTAAAAAATATTCAGGGGATACAGAAAACCAAGCTAGTTCACAAACCTTAGCATGGGGGTTACGTAATCATCCTGTGTAAATGTTAGTATTTATCCCTGTTGGCATCAGTATTTTCCAGGATCTAGTTCCGCCTTCCAGTTTTGAAGTAATTCCAAGAGGATAATAGGATAGTCTAGTATTGTATTACAAAAGTTGTATCCAACTACTGAAAAAGAAAAACTATTGGAAACCAAATCAAATCAAATCAAACCAACCAAATCACAAGATTGGTCATTCAGATTGTGTAGGCCTACGTTTTTACCTCCATCAATGGAAAGATGGATACAAGCTCGATTAAAATTGATCATTGTGCTAAGCCCCTCCCCTTGGATGTTGTTGCTAAGGCAAGCCTTTTTTTACACCATGTTAAGCGAACCCGCTGCCTGCTACTAAACCCGCTACTAACAATGATTTGAAATCAAAATATAATTAAATTTTTGGGCAATTAGTGCAAAAGTAAGATTAAATACGAAAAATGCAATTTTATTTTTATTTTTTTTCCGCCCTCCTCTGATAATCTTTGAAAAGAAAAAATTATTAAAAAAGGTATACAAAAATCTTCGCCTAAAGTCCCACAAAATGGCAGGTGTTGTAATGTACAGTCGTAAACTTGTGTATTCCTGGGACACGCACATATATTTTGTCTACACATATTGAATATCACATACCAATTATTCAGTTAAGAATGATTGGCACTCCAGAATGCTCTATTATGATGGACTTTCACCACTTTTCAAGCTTATCAGCATGACAGAACAACAATCTATCTAATAGTTTCTTTTTACTTATTTTCAGCTATTCTTGGTCTTATGTACTGCTACTGGGCTTATCTTAATATGTTCCAAACTGTTCGTTACTTAACAGTAATAGGTATTGTTACATTTATTTGTGGCAATAGGCTACTAGGGAGCATTGCAGCAAGAAAGTAAGTATATTCTTTACTTTATGCTTCATCAAAGCCTACTCATAGTTAAACACATGTAAATAAAATGAATATAAAATGAGAAAGCTGTATATTTTTTTTCCAGATGTTAATGTCTTTAAATTTTATAATCAATTTTATAATAATGCTATCAATCATTAATGTATTTTGCATATCGTATGTTGTATTTATCTAGTATATTCTTTGAATATAATTATAACTACAGATTTTAAAAATAGTCGATGTATTAACATCTTTCATCAACAGGTGATGAAACAATAGGTTTATGCCAAATCGAATTGCGCATACATACACATTTGTTTGGCATTGTCTTTGTGCTGCTGTCATGTGTACTTGGTTGAATGTGAAGGTCTACCAGTAATCTGAGCCTATCTATGCTTGGTCTAGGCCGTTTGAAACTGATTCTGTTGTTTTTTGAATGCCCTACACTTGCTTGACGGTTGAATTTATCCCCATAGAAATCTCATAGAAACTAGTCTAGGCTATGCTTAGTAGATCTACTAAGCCTACAATACTGTTAGATGTGTGGTAAGATGGGTATACATTTAGGTAGGCACCCTGTTGGTTTGTATGGAATCCCGTAACCATCACCCTTTAACTTCTTAAAGGGTGAAGCCCAATACACATAATGTCATACTCGCCTAAAAATTTATATATAAAATATCACTACACAACAATGACAAGTTACAGGTGTATGTATGCGCAAGTCATTTAACCGTATTAAATATGTGACCCAAGCTCACAAATGGGCTGTAAACTCGCACCACACTATATTGAGAAACAAGCCTCCATAGCCAGAATAAGACATAGAACGTAAATTTTGTGTGAATTATTTTTTTGTGTAATAAATAATAACTATTAATCTTACTATTCCTGAAATTTGAGTTTAAAATTCCAACTGTAAGAGGTAAAATTTAGCCATTTTCGGATGGGAGCTAGTAAAAATGAATAGAAACCTGCTAAAATAAAAGCATTTTTCTCAAAACTTGATTCAAGAAAGTTGATAAGGTGACAATTATTCAAACGGTCATAACTTTGCTTCCAGGCACCCGATTGAGTTCATTTAACTGTCATTTTAAAATAAATGATATTTTCTATGCCATTATAACAAAAACTCATTTTGCCCTGAGGACGAGTTTACAGCCCTTTTGTGAGCTTGGGTCACATATATCCACAACCGTAAATAATATAGGCAGTACACAAAGAATCAAATTTTCAAATGGATGTGCTGTATGTCTTGATTTTTTTTCTTAAAGTACTTCCCTAATTACTTGTCTGACTTAGGGACCACAGTGGAAATAAGTTAGTTTTGTACTTTTCTGTGTTTATATCCTTGAATGTTTTTACTTATAATTACTTCAGAATGAATAAATAAAAAAAAAAATAATAATAATATACTTCTTGCTCTTTGTACCCACACACAATATAGTTACTGGATCTATATTGGAGATGTGTGTTCCCCAAATAATTCTTTGAACTGAATGATACGTATTTGTGTTTTTGTATTTGTCGTTTGGTATCTTCTTACGACCTGTGTCTTGATTGTGTCTTGATTGCTTCTTAGGTTAGCACGTTCACCACGTTTCAAGGTAGAGACATGTTCCAATTCAGACACCAAATTTGTGTCATCTCCTTCAAATATCTTAATTGTTGTGTCTGCTTGTGGTCTTACAAGTCAGTGCTGTGTGACTGTATTCCCACACATGAGTTTAGCATGTACAACTCATTGTTTGGATTTTATATTACTGTTTTCAGTGTTTACTGGTGTGTTGAGTGTTGTATTTCTTGTACATTGTCTTCTTGAGCTATTATTTTTCTTTGTAATTATAAATATTTAAACAGGTTTTAATTTTTAACAAGTTTTTTATCAGTCGTATGTCTCTACTTGATATAATCAGACATTCTAGGCAGTCAGACATTTGATTTAGCACAGTATTGTAGAAGCTCAGTAGTGCTGATTACACGCGTAACTAGGAATGCTCCCCGGGAGTGGAGGAGGTTGCACGTTGTGTATGATTGATTTTGTATCAGTTTTCTGGACATGTGCGCTATGTAAATCCTATCAAATAAAAGAAAAATAAAGAAATGTAACTGGTATTAATACCAGTATGTACTCACATTAAGTATCAATGTAGAACATTAAACATCATGTATAGCTGAACCTCCAATTTACGGCACTGCAAATTACGACATGCTATTTAATGACAAAGCTCGGTATGATATGATCAGCATATTTTGTCTAGCCATGTGCACGGATTACAGATATTGTTGTGCTATTCCATAAAAATGGAAATGTATTTGAACATGGCATAAAATTAATTATATACTGTCTGTTGTGAAAATTCAATATAACAACATTTCAGTGTTCGAAATAAGGAAAAACTTGAAGTTATCCGATGGACAACCTAGATGAAAACTTTGGTTGTCCGCAAATGTTTTTACTTGTCCGTATATTATCTGTTGCTTGCTTCATTTTTACCTTGCACTGTTTTCCCTCCTGAACTTGTTTTTTCCTTCAAACCCAGCCATTTCCTAAGATCGTTCGACATGACGAAAAGTTCGATGAAAAGTTTGAACGCCTTCTCACCCACGCCTCCATTCGCCTTGATACGCGAGTTAGTGCCTTGTTGTGCGACCCGCCCATAGAGCTATTAAACAACTAGAGTGCTGACAAGATTGCACAGCAATGCAGAGTTATGTATGTGTACCATCCAAGATGGCCGTCGTAGTAAAGCGCCACCTTCAGGCTTAGTATACATATTATTACATATTAATAAGCCCTCTGACTGACTATTATTTCATTAATGATAATGAGTAACGGTAATAACAAATAATTAAACTATTGTAGCCAAAACGAGGCCAAGTGGAGCATCTTATTTAAAAATAAAATACCAAGGAGTGAAAATTAAAATCATGTACATTACACCCAAACACCGCAACGCTCGAGTTTCAAACATACGGGTAACTAGCTGTACTGAACTTTCTGAGTAAATTGCACGATGGTGCTTAGCGAAATTTGATTGGCTAAATCTATGGCAGCCATCTTGGATGGTACACACACACAGTTCTGCGTATTTCGAACATCGAATACACTGTGGTTAGAGCTCTAGTATTCTTATTATATCTCTATGGGCCCGCCACACGCGAGAAGTTAAAGTGTCAGCAGACCAAAATGCGAGAAAACATGTGATTCGGCGAATCCAAAATTGCCGCGCCCATGACAACAACGCAGTAAAGTTCAGGAGGCAAAAAACACTTGAGGTGAGGTTTGGGTCCAAAATTTTTTGGTTGTCCCACGGACAAGTTGCCCTATAGTTCTGGTTGTCCGTGGGACATTTTGGTTGGCTGGGACAAGCGGACAAGCCTTATTTCGAACACTGCATTTAATTTCCCATTAAAATAGAATAAAATATTTTATCAACTTACTTTGATTCACACACTTAAACAATTCAGGTTTTCACAGACTTAGATAATATTCAGTTAAGTTTCTGCTATATAAAAATGTTTTAAGTTGGATTGTTTATAGGTAGGTCAAATTGTTTTGTTTTTGGAATGATATGAGATTGTGGTGCTCTTGTTATTAGTGATGTTCTGAAAATTTATTTTCTACATTTGTATAAAGAGACTGCTTTTTTTAAAAGCATTTTCTCCCGTTTGTATCCATTACTCACTAATATGTTGTTTGTGATTTTACAGTATTTTTAAACATAAACAAATCCCACTTGTTATTATAGGATTTAAAAACCTTTTACAATTTTAGTTTCTTCACAGATATGTATGCATGCGTCACACGTGTTCTTTTAATGAATATATGTGGCAAAGACAAGCCATACCAGTCACTCGTCACAAAAATCGATTTTGAGTTATTAATACAGTGTTAGAGAGTAAAATAATAGCTATAAAATGGTTAAAAAATCTGACTGGTTTGGCTTGTCTGTGCCCCGTATTAGGCTTGCCATGCGAAAACCAGTATCCGAGACCAAAACAAGAAAGTTTACTTTTTAATATACTTAAGTATACAGCACTGCCACATTCTTATGCAAATTACTTAACATTTAGCGACCGTATGCTGGTTTTGGGATGGCAAGTGTCATATTTTAAATTCAAATAGAATAAAGATGTAAATGATTATAAAGATTTTTATAACTTGGCTTGAACTTGATAAGCGGAAAAGAAATAATGTGTTTCCAAATCTCAGTGACATTTGAAAATTAAGTTGATCAGTCATTGTTTGCTTTTTTGCTATAGTGTGTGTCTTGCTACACGTACTACTAGATTTCTTTAATTTTTCTGGGTTTTTTTCTCCTTTGCAGGGGATAAGATGAGAGAAGAAGACCTCAATTTCTACCAAGCATCAGGATGGTAAATTTTCAAAACTCGCATCCAGACTCATTAAAAAAAATAATTAAAAAAACACACAAATTCTACAACAGAAATAGATAATGCACAGTTAGGAAGTTTTACAGTAACAAATTTCAAGAATTCTGCCTTTAAAAAATGATGATGAATTTCATAAAATAAATTTTTATATTTTCAAATATATTGTGACGCCTCTTTCGATAATGATTATTTAAGATTAGATTCCTGTCCACATTATCAATTTAATATATGACAAATGTCTGTGATTTGCCCATTTATGGGGCATGATGACATCATGTTTTTGTCATGTAAAACTTGATAGTTAATCCGGGCACTCACTATGTTGTATGACCATCGCACAACGAATCCAAGTTCGTTCTCTGGACGTATCATCATTGAAAATGATCCGTTGTGTGCGTGTCGTGTCGTGTTGCGTTCTCAATAGAATCGAGACGACTTGTGCGTAGTGAGTACCTGACTTTCTGGACAGAGCATTAGAAAAATATTTTGTTAATTAAAATCACATGAATAGTGGAATAAGTTAAGATGCAATTTGTGTAGTTGATACATACAGCTCTGCACTATTATTCAATATGAATTAGGTTACCAAGCCATGTTAGGCAATCAATGTTTAGTTTATTTCATATTTCAACAATCAGTGCTTGATGTAATATTATTTTTTAATGTGATATTACAAATAATCCAAAATGGACTATATTTAATCTTGCTGGTACATCACCCTCTATTTAAGTCGTAATGTTTTTAATGTTGATTAAATTTTGCTTGTATTTTAAAATTCTTATTATCTTTAGTTATTATTTAGTTGCTATAATGCAGGTTTTGTGATTGGAATTAATTGTGCTGGACCATGAAGAAATATACATTTAATCAGATTATCTAATCTATTAACATCTATCACAAGTTTAATTTTTTTAAGCTTGGTTTCTGTACAAATTACTACACAGTCGCTACAGCGTTTTCACTGCAAACCTTGAACTGCGTAGCTGTCCCTGCAATCAGGGACGCTCTGATTGATCTGACCATCAGCGTCTGTCGCCAAAGGAGTCGACGATAGCATGTTGCGATTTTTATGTCTGATAGGTATCCACACTGGACTGGTCATCCATCTTCTGGTTCTATAATTGTCATTTAAATTTTTAAATAATGTCACATTTTGATGTCATTATTTTGGGTGTAAAGCTTTGTCCACATTATCATTGTCGAGTTTTATGTGACAAAACTTGATTTGCTCATTTGTGTAATATGGCATGGGTGTAAAAAATTATGGCTAATAAATAATTTGACATTGAATTAATTAGTTGTAGTCTTTTCTAGTTCAGTGATTGCCTATTCTGTATGAGCTACTCTTGGGCAAAATGCAGGAGTTTTGTAACCGTAAGATAACTAATTACAGTACTGTGTAGAGTAATTGACAAATTACCTTTCCCAAATATGGGCAATCACAGAATTTTGTCACCAAGTAATTATTTGATGTGTGTACAGAGCCTGATGAATTTGCCATACATCATTACTGTCAGTGTTTTTCAGATGTGTTTATCAATGATGTGATTGGGGTTATGGTTTCCTAAGCTAGGATTTGTGAGGAGTAGGCAACTTTATTTTATTTTCCTCCCTTGGTCATTTGAATGATGAGATTAATTACTTTCTACAGGTCACATACTAAAAGAGATTATCAATAAGGATGTACATTTGTTATATGACACTAAAAAGGATTTGATTTCATTAAAAGTGCCCAAAATATATCTGTTTGGTCCTTTGTTTCATCCATTTTTTTGTGCGACTTCAAGACTGTTTTTTAATTTTCCTCATATCGTTATGTATTTAGTATACTGCAGTATTGTAAACAATCTTATTGTACAACATGAGGGGTCCCAAATTGGAAGAAATTGTCTTTTCAAAGTGATTATGATATTTAGAATTTATATTAGGCCTATGTTATTATGTAAAAGCGCTATTTACATAGCGCTTAATAAATGAAAAGAAAAGAATCTATCAACTATTATTGGCAACCATAGAGATCTAATTAATATGTTTGATGCACGGTACTATAGAAAATTTACCTTAAAAACATTGTCATTGATGTACAGTATTTACTTTACCTACCGGTACTTCAAAACCGCGAGGACACACCGATCTCAGCCCCACCATGGTTAGGACTGAGGTGGTAAAATTTAGGGAAATAGTACCTCTAGATTACCGGATATGATACTCTTATATAGTAAAATTCATCATCATCCATCTAATTAATCGCTGTGATGCACCATAAAAAATAAAATTTAATTGTTTTTATGATGTATTTACTTTACTTTACCTATTTCATATTGCGAAAACCAATCTTGCCTTTGCACGCTTTTTTTCATACTTCTCAAATTATAATAAAGGCACACGCACTCGAGTCGTGTATTATAGGTAATTCAGATGCTTGTGGGTAGAGATACCGGTATGTTGCTATAAAATAAGATACTCTGGGTGTTAAAACTTGGGTCATTTATGCAGTTTATTTCAACAATTTTCAGGCATCGTATGTGTGCGTATCAATATTAGTAATTAACAATCACAATAACGTTATTGTTATAGGCAAACTAATATTTTTCTTATTTTTGATCAGACGACATAGTTGTGGCGTCGGACGACAGGGTCCGTACGGTAGGGGAATCACCCAGCGAATACATAAATGAGTTTCACTTATTTTAATACATACATTTTTGGTACATGGAAATTTTAAAAATTAGTACCAAAACGGTGGAGGGGAATGTGCCTCCGCCTCGTACCCCTTACTGGATCCGCTCCTGAAAAGTTATCCTAAAGTCGTAGGCTTACAATTAAAAAATGTGCATTGTGTCCGTTTTGAATTATATAGTGTATTTTTAAATGTTGGAATGGTACTCATAACATATAACGACGATTGATTGATTGGTTAATAATGCCATGATTAAGCGTGTTACCAATGCACGCACGTGCGCAAAATGACAATTTATGCGTAGTACATTGCAACCAAATATTGTATTAAATATGTGTGTTGCAATATAAAAGTTGATTATATTGTTGAATAGTCACACAATATTTTTGACGTTGTCTAATATAATTAATTCGGTCTTTTCAGCTTTAACAATTATCTCTAGGGAGATTACTCCACCACCGGGTACTTCGTGGGCGAAAATGCTTTGATAATATGCAAGAGGCCCCAACATGGATTATGGGCCGTAATTGTATAAATTACCATTATAATATATACAGATTGCTTCGTCAGCAAATTATTGACTTCAGCAGCTGTGTAGTTCTTTCTGGAAATTCAGCTTTTCGTTATCGCATTGTTAGCTAAGTATTTTTGAAATAAAACATGTGTTTGTGTGTAAAATGGACGGTGTTCCGGAATAATATTTATGTATTTTAGTTGGTTCACACAAATAATTCCGCATATGTATCCCTATAAAGTGGTAGCTATGTGACACGGGTACCAATAGCAAGTGCAGCCTCTAATGCACATGCGCAGTATTTGGTTTTTCACAATTTTTAACACAACATGTGGTTTTATGGTTTTAAGTTTCAACCAATCACAAATCAAATACTTTTAACATGTGCTATATTGGAACGAATTGATTCAGGTTTTCGGCAATTAATATTTCTGTGTCTCTGAAAATTTTCTATAAAATGCAAGTGCATGCGAAATTGACTAAAGCTACGATTTGAAAACAGACAACATGAAGGTTGTTCTGCTGTCATCGCTAGTAGTTTTACTATGGTTGCCCTGCAATGGCATTCGATTGCAACGCGACCAGATCAAGAAAACTATGTACTCTGACGAAATCAATGTAAGTACACTACCGGTGTAGTAGTAGCTAAACTCACTCAGATATAATTTTTCAATACTATACCATAGTATAAGGCATATCCCCATCATAATTGGCGAGTAAGTTGATAGTGCTTATATTATAAATAAATGTTTCATTTATATAGTTCACTTCCGCTGTTTGCATTTTGTAGCTTCCCAGCTAACAATATTACGTTCTAAGAACGTTATTATAACTTTACAGTTTGGTGATAAAAACGTTATTTTGTAAAACCATATGTACGTACTTATAACCTATTCCACAACCTCATGTTTGAACGTTTTACAGCGTTGTGTGAACGTTATTTTGTGACATGCCTAACCACAACGTTCGCGAACGTTATAAGAACATTTTGTGTTTACTGGGTTGTCTCTGTACGAACACTAATGTCTCTAATGTTGAACTTTATTTTTATTGCAGGTTTATATTGTATTACTTTGCTTTATATATCTCGGTATCTTTTATTCAAAATAAATCATACAAAATTAATGGCAAAATAAAATTCCTTGGTAGCAAATGGTAGAATTGAGGAAGTTTTTTCAAGGTCAAAATCTGTAAATATTTTATTTTTATAGAATGTTATATTAGAATGAAAAATACTTTACATAAAAAAACACTACAAATTTAAAGAAGCAAGATATTTGTATTCTCTTCGTACCACTGTTGTGCCTTATGTTTTCAGTACCTTTTCAACACTATTTATTCTTTTCTTGATATCAAACTTTTCAAAGGATGTGCTATTCTTCAAGTACATAATTCAAACATTATAAACAACCTTAGTTAAATACTCAAAATAAAAATTGCCGCAATTGCAAAAAATTATGAAGTAAAATAATACCCAGCACAGTGATAGTAAATTGTAATCAACCAAGTTGACCGTCGTCGAGATTATGGACCTTTCTGCTATAAGCTACAATTACACCCCTTGGGATTGCTGGTTTCATTATATAAAGCTGTTAAACTGTCATTAAATATGGGTGTGACCACTTTCGTCTCAAGATATAAACTTCTAAAAACAACACTACCATAATTTAACCTAGATTCCATCAAAGATGGCATTCCAACCATCACTTAGAAAAATTCCTGTTCAGCGATTTTACAGAGTAATCATCAAGCTTGCTGAACAACTGCGTCTGCTATCATAAATCCATTTTCAAGAAAGATCCCAGCAAACAAGTTGCGTTATAATAACCTTGCAGTTCGGTGTTCAAAACATTTGTTGCATAACCACAAACTAATTTCCAACTAAATAAACGTTGGTAACGATGCTGCAACCTTGTGTTAATATTATTTTTTGAAGTAACTTAAGCACAACGTTCATAAATTTCACGAACGTTATAATAACGTTTTGTGTTTGCTGGAATTTCCCGTCGGAGAGAAAATCCACAATTCGCCGGGGAGAAAAAAAAATTCCAAACAAAATACATATTAGTAGACTTTTATGTCGATTAAATGAGCCTTTGAAACCCCTAATTTGTCATATCATGTCATATTTTCGGGGGACTAGGTCCCCTGGACTACTTTAGAAAGGTTTTTAGCGACGCCCGACAACGCCCACTTTTTTCTCGTCGGGGACATCAGGGCGCCCCCACCCCCACCGTCGGGATCTTGGACCCCACTACCCACGTCGGGGAAATACGGGCACCGCCACTGATTGCAATCTACGCTACTAACCAACTCTCTCTGTTTCCGGTGGAAAGACAGGATATCTTTTGATTGTATCATCATGTTACAGCTAAATACATAGGCTATTTATTTTTGCAAATTTGAGTACTATCCGCAGATTATGCAGTTAGTATGGTATTCAAGAAACTTGAGTAATTTTTTAAATTTTTTTTTACATTCTGGGATTGAAACCTTAATTTGACTGAATAGAACTATTTTCTCAGAGCAATAAAAGTGATGATAATAATATTCAAAATAATGCATGGACTCGTTACAACACACACAAACACACGCACACCCACACACACCTGACATTAACAATTACCATTCCTTAATTTACTTTTGTATAAACAAAAATAGTTTTTTAGTCACCACACTATTTTAAATCTTTAGTTGATTTTCTTTTACAGAAAATGATTCTTGATTATTTGAAAAAGATGGAAGATGACAACAATTTTTGTAAGTAATCGATATTTATTAATTTATTGCAAAATACATCAGTGTTGCAGATAAATTGAATTAACATAAAATATTCAATATTATGTACCTCATACTTCGATTCTAGGCATCTGATTGGTTAAGAAGCGAGGCAATAGAAAGTACTATTCTCCTCAAAAAGTACTATTCCCCTAAAAAATAGTACTTTTTTTACCCTGTCGCGATGTGCAAACTCTGCTCTGGCCACTGGAGACGGAGACGGTCAGAGCCATATATATAAAGAGTTGCGACATTCCGCTCCTTGGTTTACGAAAGTCACGTGGTACACACCGTCAATTTTGTTTCATAATCTTCCCGATGAACACATGCAAAGTATATGTGTTACGTACATTGCTTATTAATTTCAGACACTTAATTGGGTTTAAAATTATATTTTATAATTAACATTACTTAGTATGGACAGGGTATAAGAATTCATATATAATCGAATATTTGCGCGCGTGCGTGCTCGCGTAAATTCCGTACTCGCGTAAATGACTGAAATTAAAATTAGTATTGTTTTCAATTATCGTTAATTCGTCACATTTTAATCAATGAAGACCTGACCTATTTTATTTAATGGTAATCATTTCTTTGGTTTTAATTGTTTTTAATAGTATATATATATATATTTCTTAATTATATAAATTTAAATCATTTATCAGTTGCATTATTACACTGTTTACGTTCATCATTAAAATTTTATTTTTATTTTCTCATTCTCCTAGATGCGTTCGGAAAATTTTTAAGCTAAATAAGAAAAAAATTTAATTTTTTCCGACCTTTTCTGACGATCTTTAAAGGTTGTTCGCTAAACAATATTAGAAAATGGTTCTTAATTTCAAATCTTTGTACAGCCTGTATAATACGAATGACAATGAAAATAAATGTGATGTTTAATAGTCTTAAAAATGATTTGCTGTTTCTATTGCATACTATTATATAATTATTATAACTTTATTTTGGAAATGACGCTTTTAAAACAGCGGACACGCTCTTGCAGTGTGTTTACAAAAGTAACATACTGTACAGCCATAATAAAATATTAAAATTGAGGCGAGACTTTTAATACAATAAAATGTACGTTAAATAATTACACAAGTTGAATATATCTCAGATCCTGTATATCATTTAACACTTACAATTTATAACTTTTACGTACAGCAAAGCACAGTTATATTGCGGCCAACTGAACTATACTATTTTAATATTTATAAATAATAATAATCAAATTAATAACATAAGTTTTGTATAGGGCTCGCTCATATTCAAATTTAAAGAACATTTTTGCATAGAGAATTTGGTACGTGAGTCATCGCATGAACACTGGCCTGGCCCTAGACTAGGGTCATACAAACAATATTTATCTTAAGCTATGTTCACATCAAGCCCGGATTCCGGTCCAGAGTTTTGAGAAAAAGTCGTGAAAAATGGGTTCAGTGGTAAAGAATAGTACCGATCACATCAAACTCGTTCGATTTCTAATCCGGACTCTGGATCCGGACCGATGATGGATCGGAGAGCCATTTGTATCCTGAAACTGTATGTTTTTTTCTTGGACCAATCAGCAACAAGCTTGGTTGCTTCGAACCAATTGAACGCATACGTGCTTAACCTGAACAACCGTGTTCCGTGCGCAATGTGTTATTTTGTGAGTTATCACCCTTCAACTGATCATCCAGCCCTCCCACTTCAAGATTTCTGGATATGCCACTGCATAGAAAAATTTTATGTTTTATACTCACTATCTTTGGTGACAAATTTGGTCTGTTGCAAACAATTCTGTTACTATTAATTATAAAATGTGACATAATAAAATTGATGATGAAGGTAATAATGATGAAGGTAATGATGATGAAGATGACGATGATTTTTATAATGGTAATGATAATGATATTGATAATGGTGATTATAACAAAATATCAATTCAATTTTTTTTCCAGTTGAAAGAGACGTGCATGGTGAGTAGTAAAGACTATTTTAATATAAAAACCCGATTTAGTTTAACTTTAATACTTTGCACTGTAGTACTGTACAACAGCAAGAATTGTTTAATAATGAATAGAAGCCACACAGGTAATGGAAACAATAATAATATGATTATAACAAAATATTTATTTTTGCTTAAAATAGTTTTGTGTAACATAATCATATTTCCGGTGTATTTATTAATTTATGCCAAATCTTTACTTAAAACTCAGTTATGAATCGTAACTGACGTGAAAATATCAAATTTTTTTTTTTCCCAGTTAAAAGAAACGCGTCTGGTGAGTAGAAAAGACTATATTTTAATATAAAAAACAATCTAAGGCCTGTTTATACTTGCAACGATAACGATAATGATAAAAAGTTAAAAGGCAATTGTTCATATAGAAAATAAAAGAAATAAAAAAAAGTTTTTTACACTAGGACGATTCAATAACGGTTTATCGTATATATGAAAAAAAAAATGTTGATAAATCATTTCAAATTATGTCATAATCATCGAAAAACGATAAAATACGTTGTTACTACTACAGTTTCATCGTTTTCCATGATTATGACGTCATTTAAATTGATTTGTCAAAATAATTTGTTATCGTATACATGATAAATTGAATCGTCCTAGTGTCGAAACTTATTTTCTATGAACAATTGCTTTTTATTGTTATCGTTGCAAGTATAAACAGGCCTTTAGTTTAATATCAATAATTTGTGCTTTAGCACTGTAAACGCAGCAAGAAGGGTTTAATCATGAATATAAGCCACATGACCACCTTAATGATAACGATAATAATATTGATTAGGTCTATAATGATGATTAGGCCTATAACAAAATATTTATTTTTGCTTAAAAATGTTTTGTGTAACATCATAATCGTATTTTCGGTATATAATCTATGCCAAATCGTAATTGACGTCAAAATATGAACTATTTTTTTTTTTCCAGTTGAAGGAAATGTGACTGGTGAGAAGTAAAGACTATATTTTAATATAAAACCCGATTTATTTTAACTTTAATGCTTCGCGCATTAGTACTGTAAAAACAGCAAAAGGAGGGTTTAATCACGAATAGAATCTACACAGCAAATTTAATGTCCCGATTTTTGTGTCCCACTTTTTGGTGATTTATTTCAATTTCTTTTTTTAAAACCAGCGTTCAGCTTCTTCTTTAAACCTACCACTCTATTGTTACATTGAAGTTTAGTTATGTGTAGTTGTAGTTCTGATGTATTGATTTCAAATAGGTCTGCAATAGAAAAATTCATGTTGCATTTGTTCAACTGATATTTTAATTCATCATTACTATAAACCAGAGGTAGCAAGTAAAAACAGGTAGGCATATGGGCACCCCTTCAGAAACTTCCTACTAAAGGTATTGCATTCATATACAATATACGTAAATATTTCTTTCACAAAATGTTTTATTTTCTTTTGCACAAAATACATTACAGAAATAACTAGAAATGCTCCTTTTACACTGCGCAGTAAAAACATTGTTTCCCCACTGTGTGAATTTTCTCTGAAAATTGATGAGTTTGAAACCGATCAACCTTACCAAACTTTGGTGATCGTAGTACTAAACAATCTACTACAACAGTGACGACAACAACATGAACAAATACTACAATTTCACCTAAATTAAAACTTTTCTCTGAGAATTATGATAGTATTTAGTGTAAATTTTCTGATTAGTGAAATATTAATTATGCAAATGATTTGCCCCCCACCAAGTCTTCCTTATTTTGGAATTCGTCCGTCCACTTTTCACAACGGATCGACGCCCTTTAGCCCAATTGGCTTAATCTCGAATTGAAGCCCCCCTCTTTTATTTTGCAACAGTAACCTTGGAAAGAAGCCCATCTCGAAAAAGAAGCCAATGAGCTTCTTTTCAAGATAACATGGGCTTCATTTTGAGATAGTAGGCCTACAGTACATGTAATAGTACAATCAGTCAAGCAAAATAAATTAAAAATACGCTTGATTTATACAGTAGTTTAGGATTTAATGGTGGTTTACACACTTCATGATACAGACGGATGTTACAGTGGCTAATTTATTGTTTTATTCCCAAAATTTGCAGCATTCATTTTGGAAAGAATTCCCTTATTTACTTTGCAAAGTAAGCATCAAAAGGAAGCCCATCTCGAAAAGAAGCCAAATGATATGATCTACACGTTTACAAAAGGAGTCAATATCCCTTTCCACCTCTTGAAAGAAACACAGTGAAATGATGATTATTGTCATTTTGAGTATCATCATTTTGTTTTTTACATAAAAGAGTGCATGTGCCTATACTGTTAACCCATCCCACTAAAAAATATGGTTTTTTAATGGATATCCCTGCATCTAATGACACTATACTATCAACTCAAATGCCTCTGGACGCAAGACTCTCGATTTTTAGAAAAATAAAAAATAAAAAAATTAATTATAGGCCTATAGTCTATCTAAAACCCTCTCATGCACAATTTTAATCCCAGTCCTGACTACCAAAGTATATGTGACATTCTTATATATATGGATAACATCTCACTATGACCATGTAGGCACATCATGAATATTGGTCATACAACTGTTTTTTTTAAAGAAAATTTGATAATGTGGACAGAGCTTAGAAATTATTATGTACAAATTTGTATTACCTAGCTTGTGATGGTGATCCATGCCAGCATAATGGCGTTTGTAACTTGGATGAGTCGTCCAGTGGGTATACCTGCGACTGCAAAGGCACGGGCTATATCGGTAACACCTGCGAAAGCGGTAAGATACTTCTGCTTATCTTTACAAAAGAACTGTTTAAACAAATCCTTCTCCTTCCAAACCCACAATTTGCAGCATAAAACTATTATACAACACTGTCGTTTTAATTGTGGTTTTAGTCCGAAAACCCTCTTGTGTGTGTCGGACATATGAACTTTTATTCTGGAGTTTATCGTAAAATACAGATTAAAAATGCATTTCAAGGTCTACAGTATATAGAAATTTCCCTTTTTTTTAACTTTTAAATTTCAATAGCTTCAATTAGCAAAACATGGTTATTTCTATTTGTATTGTTATTGCTATTACTCTCCTTATTCTTTCCCTTATACTTACATATCTCAGTATCTTTTATTCACAAGTAACACATACAAAAGTGACAAAATATAATTCCTTGCCAGCCAATATAGCTGAATTGAGGATATTTTTTTATAAATGTCAATGTCACATAATACAAATGTATCCTTCTCATTCTTATTTTTGTCAAAATTTATTAAATGTAATGCCTTTCCTTCTATACTAAGGAAAGTAATAATAATAGTGTGGCCTACTCAAGAATGGATCTTTCCGGAGTGTCAATCAAACTTAACAACTGACCAATCAGAACAGGGCGCACATCTCACAAACACACGTGTTGTCAATGCTTTTACCCTGTTGTTTTGTGAGACCTTAGCAACAATATCCAAGGGGCGGGGCTTAGCGAAAAGGTCTATCAGTGAGGTTGCTAAGAGATTCCAATGTTATAATGTCCATAACAGTTGGCTTCTTCTTGTATGTCTTATTTAGTGGACACATGTGCAAACAAAAAACCATGTCAAAACGGAGGAGTTTGTTACAATAATGATTCAGAATTAGGATTCTACTGTAACTGTTCTACTGGGGCCGAAGTGGCGTATGGTGGAACTGTCTGTGATATACGTAAGTTATTGTATTATTTTGTTTCATGTAATATGTTGTTGCTTTGAAAAACACTTTTAAATATGGTTGTTAAATAGCACAAGTGTCGATGATATGCTGAGTTTGGCTTGATGTCTTCCATTATAAAGTGATTGTTGGAGGGACCTGCTGCTCGATATATATATATATATATATATATATATATATATATATATATATATATATATATATATATATATATATTATTGAACATATTTATACAGGATAACATTAGGAAGGTGTAATAGCCTGTTTTACATATGGTCCTGTTTTGTGATACAAAATTACAGTATAAAAATCAACAAATTGCTTACTAATAAAGTTAAAAATAGACTTAATTACAAAAATGAACAAAAATTTTAATTGTATACGCAATTTTAATTGTATTTAAAATCTTAAATATATACTGTATTGTATGTATACACTCAGTCTAGAACAGGTGAAAATGTGTAACAAATGGGAGAGAGGCCAAAAAGAGAAAATGTACCCTAACTTATTCGCAATTACTTCATTTTCAGTTCTTCGTTCATGCTCAGTAAACCCGTGTTTAAATGGTGGAACGTGCACAGACGGTCTATGCCACTGTCCAGTAGGATTACATGGAACATTGTGTGAAAAAAGTATGTTAAAATAAAAACTATTTTATAATTTAACTGTGTGTTTATTTATGCCTATTTCCAAGGTTGTGGGAAGGATTTTTAAAAATGAGTTTTCTAATTTGTCACAAAAAGGCACTTTTGAGTTCTTACCCCCTCAGCCCCACCATTGATGGTGTAAATTTTAAAGATATAACACCTCAGATGTCCGGAAATGGCAATGAACTTGCCAAATTTCAAATATTTGGAGTTAATTTCAACAACTTCCATGCCAATGGTACTTTTTAATAATTATTTGAAAGGGCATTTCTGGAAAGGGGGATCCTTTCGAACCCCTCGAACCCCCTGGCTACGGACTTGACTACAACCAAGTAGACAAAGAAATTAACAACTAATGATACGTATAATGATTAAAAAATATTATAAAGAAACACTGGCGATAGGGTCTATTGCTAGTGCCGGTACTGTAGTTCCTAATTTAAACCATGTTAAACAAGAAATATTTCCTATAAAAAGAACGGCGCAACATCTTTAAATTATACAACTGGTTTGTATTTCTAAACCTAATAAAATAACATATTCTTGAGGATGACCTACCATCTTCAATGCATTTTTGTTTATGGTATGACACATAAACATAAAAATTCCTACAGGTACAGGAATTGGTTACAACTGGTGTAACAATAGCCACTGCGTTATTTACATTGCGGTGGTAGGATTAAAATAATAAAAAGACCTACTGAAAAATACTGTACATAAATGTGGAAATTATAAAATACAAAACCAGTGTAATATACAGTATAATTGGTGTAGGCCTAGACCTACCGTAGTTTTTTTAGCTTGTGTTCTTACTACTGTTGTTGGATATTATGAATATTATTATTATTTATTATTATAATTTTATTTTTCAAAATATATTTTATTATCTTTATTATTCTGCTGGCTTGGTTGGAATCACACCAATTCTTTTCGATATTTTAGATGAAAATTTGTCAATAAGTATAGCCGATGTTAAGTTGCAATCAAAATTTAATATTTAAGAGATATTTAATAGTCACTACCTTTTCAATATTAATATTGTTATAGCTAGGGGAAATTTCTGAGAATTCAGGGACTAGGTAAGATGTTCCGAATGTCATGAATTTAGTTTTGTTATTATTTAATATTAAATTATTGTTTTTGAACCACTCTGTTACAAAATTAAAGTTTGCCATGAAGTCCAATTTAAAGTTCCGCAGGATCAGTAGAACTGCAAGGAAGGGTTGTATCATCTGCGTACATTACACATTTACCTTGGACTACCTCAGGAAACAAAAATATTAAAAAGTAATGGTCCTAATATTGATCCTTGGGATATACCTATATTAATCTACATAGCATCAGAGTAAGTAGAATTTATTTGAACTGTTTGAGACCTATTATTTAAGTATGATTTAAACCAATTTAATGCTACGGTACGCATACCAAGTTTTTGTAATTTATTAATAAGAAATTGGTGATTGACCGTATCAAATACCTTTTTCAAGTCAATAATATTTCTTCAATAATATTCACTTCATTAAAATTATTTAATATGTAATCTGAAACCTCAATAACAGTTGTTGTGGTCGAATGGTATTTACGAAAAATAGTAGGTTATTTATAGCTTAGATAAATATATATTCGTTTACAGCTCTTTCAATAATTGTTGATGCAAAACCGATCATCAATGCAAAAATTGCCGACGAGGACAAAGATCTCCTTGACTATAAATACTCCTTAAACTAACTATGGTTCATCCGCCCTTTGTTCAGTTGTTATTAGTTTTTTTTTAAATGTTCTAATTTCCACGAACCACCAAAATTAGCATTGGAACTAAAATTAATGCTATACCTGCTGTATCATCTCTAAATAGCCAAGTGAATCAAGGGTTTCAGACTCAGGGGCCAGATTTATGAAACTAGAAATCAGCTTAAATTCATCTTTAGTCCATTTTTTTGCTTAAGTCAAATTTATCAATATTGCTTTAACTTTAAAAATTAAAAAGTTGATTATATGTATGAACCATCTTAGACAATTTTTAAGCTAAGATTTTGCTAAGATGGTTAGATAATTCAGCTTAAGATATTTGCTTAGGGACATCTAAACTCTTTTGACTTAAGATATTTGCTAAGCTGAGATTCATAAATCCCGGGCCAGTCTCTTACCTCTCCTGACAAGACAAAACACGGCTCAGCACCGGTAGAGTGAATGAATGGCTCAGGCTCCAAGTCGGGGTTACTTCATACTGTGGTGGCTGTGACACCACCCTAGTCAAAAGTCTGAATAATCTACCCACACCAATGGACATCAGCTGGGATTGCAGCTTTCCTTTTCAGGCTAAATTGTGTATTCATAAAAAATATTGATTATAATATTAAAATGATAGAAGAACCTCTATTAATAAATCGATTTCTGTTTCAGGTAACAATGGATACACACCCGAAAGCAGCCTTCCACCAGCTGGTAAATATTTATTTATGCAATGTTATTCATTCTTTTTTTTATTACTTTTAAACTGTTTATTTAACCACTAAAACAGTTAACCAATAATCATTCAAGCAAAATGCTGATATGGTCACTGAGAAGGTTTGGGTAAATTGCACAAGTAATCTGAACTAAAGATGTAGTGTCATCAAATAAATAGACAAATTCCAAAGAAATTTAAGCTTTTGATAAAATGATCTTTTTTTTAAAAAATATTATAGGCCAAACCTGCTCTGTGTGGGACAGAAAGAATTTTCGTACATTTGATGGCATGGTTTATTCTGTGAACAGTGAATGCAGTCATACTTTAATGATGGAAGGCACAGGAACTATTTTTAAAGTCTCTGTGGATTTTAGGAATAATTCGATGGCAGTTGGTGTTGTTTACAACAATGGTAAAAAACATATATCACTGACGTTAACATCCAACGGCGTAGTCTACAATTCTCAACTTATTACCGCCAACGAGAACCTTGATGCAGTTTATATATCGTTCGTTTCTCATTATATCATACTACAAACCGATTTAGACTTTTTCCAAATTATATGGAACCGCGATAATTTGGTTGAAATCAAAATGCTTGATGATAATCTAGCTGGTAAATTAAGCGGCATGTGCGGAAATTATGATGGCCTTCCATCTAACGATGCCGAATTCAACAGTGTTGTACCAGCTATTTTTAACCCTGTTACAATGGCAGAAAACTGGAAAGAATACACTGGAGGTAACATCACCATTGTTTTTCTTTTTCATTTGGTGGAAAAAAACCATTGTTAAACAAACACATTCATTTTCACATACAATTCACAAGATATCACAATTCTGTGAACACATGTTGCTAGCTAACTATTTTAGGAAATATTCAGAACTTAGCTTGTTTTGTGGAGTACTGTGCTTCCCTCTTTCGCTTTTCTTTTGGTGTCTATTTTTGCCTTTCCTTTTTATTGGGAGGGGGAGCACCCGTGGCCCTCTGGATACACCCCTGGTGCCGAATAAAGATATTACTGCTATGAGACGCAGACATAAGTACTATTCCTCCAATTAGTATTACAGTTGTTGTTTTGCTAATTAATTGTTTTTATAATGGTCGATGTTTTAAAAGTTATTATGGTTAATTCAGCATTTTAATTTCAATCCGCTTGTAAGTTAGGCCTAGTCTATATATTAGAAAATCTGAAAAATATCATAGTATTATATAGACAGAGCATTACTTGATTGTATTTATGCTTTATTATGATGAACTCTATTTTAGTTATCTCCTTCTATTTGTAATTTTTTGTGGTGTTTATTCAATTATTCTTTGGTCTTTAATTTGCTGTTTTTCTATGTTATGGTTTCACTATGGCTGTAATAGAGTTAAGTATATTATTGTGATGTTTATTGTATTTTGTAATAGTTTGAAGAGTAATTTTTTTGAAACCCTAGTCACGCTTAATCACAGTGATATGTCAATATTGGTTATTAGAATAGGTAATAGAACCTCAACTGTCAAATATTTAACACTGTTTTCATGTTTTATTTTGCCAGAATGCGAGATAACGGACACTTGCGTTGATTATAATCAGATTTCTCAAGGTGATTTGTACACATGTCTAAACATGAATGCTTTATTTACTGATTGCGTAAATGTAAGTAGCCTTATACGAAGCCACAACAGGGATACAATGATTCCCTATTGTCTCATTTACACTTACAATCGTTTGTGCTTCCAGTACCGTCCGGCCTGTGTACCAAAAACATTGGTGACAATATTCTTTTCCTTTAATAGCTAACAGTACCAAACGTTGGAACAGTTTGCATACCTTTGTTGAGGTCATTGTATTCTTGTCGGACAGGCATTCCAATCACCATTGGACTGACTTTACATCACAGAGGTGGGCAAGTTGCAGCCCGTGGGCTGCATGCAGCCCAACAGTGATTCTTCTTTTTGCGGCCCACGAAAATGAAAACCCTATGTGTGCGGCCCGCCAATCAACATTCGCAGGAAAAAACCTTGTTTTTTACGGCCCGACACCGATCATATGTAAAAAGTAACATTAAAATTGAGAATAAAGTGGTGTAAAAGCAGTGCTTGGAGGTTTTAGGAAGCACACTGGAAACATTAAGGTTTGGGTGTGGCCCTCAGTGTTAAATCAACAATTACTTTAACTTTGGCCCTCCGACCGATATTTATGCCCACTCCTGCTTTACATGGTACCAAAATCTAGAATGCAGTATTAAGTGTGGATATCACTAAGTCTTTATCCCAACATGGTGGAGTGAGTGCAGTATCTGTTTGGGCTTGTGCCTATTCTCACTCCGGGCTTAAATTGTACTTGATGATTGCCAAATAAATATTATTATTATTATTATTATTAACATACATGATGTTGTTGGCACATAAAAAAATGATAATGTGTGGTGGTGTTGGTTCATCCTTGTGTGCTTGAAGAGCATAAAATAAGTCAGTATTCATCTCTGTTTTTAGCATATATTTAAGTGTGGTTTTGAAGACCAGTTGATCTTCTTCCTGATGCCAAATCACTATACAAATCAAATGTCTTTGTGTAAATGACCACCATCCATTCTAATTCAAGTGACTAAAAAAAAACCAGAAGATGCCTTTGTCGGTCACTGCTTTGTTCTGAAAGATAATCTGACACTGTGATAAAATATCTAATACCTGTGATCTAAATACCATCTTTCCAGATTGTGCCAATTGACTCATATATGAAAGCTTGTTACGAGAGTGCCTGCAGTTGCCAGAATGTGAATGCAGTGTCATGCGTCTGCCCAGACTATGCAGCTTATGCATCTGAATGTAGTAAAAACGGCGTGAATGTAAACTGGAGATCAGAATCGTTTTGTCGTAAGTTTTACTGTCTTCCGCCTAAATTCTAAAACCAAGTTTCTATGAGGCTTCGGTTTTGCTTCAATTATACAACATTTCAATTGTATTGATTGTGTTAGGATTACATGCGTGTTATAGAAGACGAGAATAGTGACAAATTCACCGCTTTGTTAAAAGATTTAAACATATGTCATTAAATTTACTACATTATTGGTCCAATATCTTTCAGCCTTCGAATGTCCTGTTGCTGGTGAAATATATAATGAATGTGGCTCTACTTGTGTAGCAACTTGCGAATACCAGGATCCTGATTGTACAGAGGAAACACTTTGCCTAGAAGGTTGTCACTGTTCAAGTGAGCACGTGCTGCTTAATGGCAATTGTGTTAAGCCAGTAGAGTGTCCATGCTTCTATGGAAATGATAACTACACACATTCACAACAAGTTCAAACTGAGTGTGATCTTTGGTAAGTTTAGAAATTTGTTGCGATATGCTCTCTCTTTATTTGCTTTCTTTTTCTCATCTTCTCCTCCCTAACTTTCCACGCATGCATGTGATCCGCTCACAAAGATTGTTTCAGAGCAATAGTGCATCTGTAACTGCATGGTTGTTTTGCAAAAGTAACCATTTATAAAAAAAAAAAAAACAGTCAATTGGTTGTTAACAATCCATTGGTCGTTAACAATCCATAAAAAGATGAAAGACCTGACGAGGTCTACTTAAAATTAATTTGGCAGGCATTCATCACATTCACTGCCTGTACCTTATTCAAGAAGGTAATACTGAATGTATTAACAGAATAGAGTAACTCCATAATAGCGATATCAAAAAGGTTGGTTCCAGTTTATGAGTCTGTTTAAACTGACATAATACTAACATTCAAGAATATCCGAAACTTTTCTTGAAGAATCGATACTTAAATTGATAATTAAGTATGCGGTGAACACTCTTTTTGACAAGTTAATGATACACATTTGTCCCACAAAAGCACATTTTTTTTTTTACATTGTCTTTTTATTCTGTGGGACCTTAGACGCAACATCCAAGAGGCGGGCCTTAGCAGAATTTTTCATTTCATTTCATTTATTTCCAACAAATACAAAACGAACAGGAATAACAATACCAAAAATCAGAGACAAACAGGATAAACAAAAAGCAAACTAAATTGCGGTACAAAGTTTCTCCACTGCTTTAAGGAAAAATACATAAACTAAATAAATAAATCTCTGTTCTCTGGAAGTAAGAACGGCCAAGGCCAATAGAAAAGTTCATAAGTCAAAAAAAAATAAATAAAAAAAATAAAAGAAATAAAAAAAAAATAAAAATAAATAAAGCACAGCGCAGTATGCAAGAAACAATTTATTGAGAAAATCATGTGGGCATTTTCAGAACTCCTACATGTTTTTTCTAGTGGCTCCATAAGAGTAACAATACATTGTTTCTTGCGTGCTGCGCTGTGCTGTGCTGCGATTTATTTATATATTTATTTATTTATTTTTTAAAAATGTTTACTTATTAACTTTTAACTTTTACTAACTGTCCGTTAAAAAGCCAGTTTGTCAGAAAGTAACTCTTATGCATCATTAAACTAAACTAATTTATTTGACAACATCGTTTATATTTACATCACATATTTATTGAGTTTTCTGTATCCTTTTCAATACCCTACAGTACCTGTTTAGAAGGGGAGTTTTCGTGTGAAGCACAGCCATGTGGAGGTATGTACGACTAAACATTAAAGATCTTTCATACTGTGATATGGTTACTAATTTGTTGGATAGACCAATTTTTGTGTGTTATAAACTGCTATTAAAATTGGTTTTAATAAGACTGTCAAAAATTCACTTTGATCTTTTGAAACTGTACTGTATGCCAAGTCTCTGACTATCCCTCCTAGCTCAGACCATACTTATCTTTTAACGTGTTATTTATTTCACCACTATAGCAACCTGTTGGGCTGCGGGTATTTCATCGTACAAGACTTTCGACAACAAGTATTACGAATTCATGGGCGACTGTGAATACTACCTTCTTAAAGACTGTAACGTCAATCCAGGAGATTTTGAGATACTTTTACAAAACCAGCATTGTCACCCTCAGATAAATGGTTTTGTGAGTGACTGTAAAAAAACTGTTACGATACAGAAAGGTGGAAACCAAGTCATGTTATCTCCAGGGCCAATAGTCTATGTCAACAACTTCAATGTATTGTACTACCCGCATGAATTGCCCGGAATATTTATTGAAAACCTTGCTGATACATTAATTAAGGTGCGGAACAACCCAATCTAATAATAATAATAATAATAATATACAGTATATTATTATTATTGCACGTTGCTTAGACATTTTACCCTTTGTCCACCAATTTACTGCGAGGTCTCCTTTCTTTATAATTATGAATAATATCAGTGATAATGGAATCCTTAAATATTCTCATGAAGACGATTTAACTAATATTTATTTTTACATAATGTTTAAATAGTATTTATATCGTACATATCTGCAGAAGAACTCCACAAGGCGCTTTCCGTCTGGTCATTGGAGACAGAATCCACCACACACAATGTGCAACCACCTCTGCTCTTTGGGGAGGGGCCTGGGGGTAATTCAGAACTATCAATTTCATTCCAAATCATTCAGCCTCTGCCAGATATGCATGATATACTGTACTCCCCGATAGAGAGAGCCAAATGCAGCACAAGGCCACAAGCAGTGTGACAAGGGTCAGTCTCGAACCCCCTAATGCATTAAGTAATTCCTCTACCTAACATATAGACAATTTAAATCGATCTACTGAAAGATAACCGATCCTGAAATAGTAATAATGAATAATAATAATAAAAGTTTTAATATAATTATTGTCTACAAGGTGACTTTGAGTGACGGCATAGCGTTGTTATATGATGGGTATACCAGAATCGAAGTTCATGTTGAACCGGCTTTAAAGGGAAAAACGTGTGGCTTATGCGGAACCTTTACAAATACGGCCCTAGACGATTTCTTAACTCCTTCAGGTAAGCCAAATTTTCATAATTAAACGAATTACTGAAAAAATACAAGTTCATGATTACTTGTTCTAGGATGGGATTGTATATATGTTAGAGATATTTGGTTGTACATAAAAACATTGCTCAATACTGACCTTAAAATGGTCCATGTTGTTTGGCTTAAATGGTGCAAAGAATAAGATGATATTAACCTTATACTACTGTTTTTTAATATTATGGTATCAGGAAATGTAGAAAACGACGTATATATTTTTGTTGACAAGACTAAAGTTATCGCAGGATGCTCAGATAATCATGAAATACATCTGGACCCGTGTAATTATCAAGAGACTTACAAGCCAACAGCAGAGGCACAGTGTAGTGAATTGCAGAATGCCGATGGTGTCTTGGGCGGTGAGTACAGACTGTCTAGTTTCCTTCTTTACAATACCTTCCTCTGTTTGTCGAGGTGAATAAGAAAATATATTTGATTTGCGCGAATGGATGAGGTGAGGTGTACACGTATGTTGAACATATTATGTATATATATATATATATATATCTGTCTCTTATACACATCTAGATGTGTAT